CCTTGGGTCGGTTCCCGGAGCCGCGAACCACACCCACCCCGCCGCGCCCGCCGCGCTCACCTTCTCTCTAGGAAGGAGAAGGGCTGGCCTCCTGGGTGGGGGCTGGGGGCCCCCTTCGGCCGCCTCCGAACGCCCCCCTCCTCCGGCTGGGAAGTGGGCTGGCCTTGGGATGGAGGTTTGGGGAGACCCGGGCCTGGCCCAACATCACCCGGCGTCGTCGCCAACTTTTCCTCCCCCACCCCAGGTGATCCCAAGATTTTTTTTTTCAACTCACCTTTGGCTTTGAAGGCACGTGGGTGAATCCCTTTCCCTCTCCAAGACTGAAGGTTGTTTATTCTTCCTTTTCCCTCCACCCCCTTCCCGGAGAAGATACATATTTAATTTACATAAGATGACATTTATGTGACAATTAAGAAGATTCCCCGATGGAATATTGTGAACACATTTGCTTATAGGCGAAATAAATCTAATAATAAACAAATGCATAATAACAGCTCCAATCCTCCGACAGGGCGGATTGTCTACAAAACAAAGAGAGATGATGGATGCTGAAACAAGCACTTTTTGCGACCAGAAGGAAATAGCTCAAAGGGAGCCCCTGCAACATTTCTCTTCCTTGGACTTCCTCCTCAAAGCGAGGAGGGGCCGGGCATCACGTCGCAGTTAGACTGCTCTGGCTCTCTGTGGTCCAGATAGGGTTTTGGCCAACCAAGGTCAGCCAGTGTCTGGGAAAGGTGTTTCGGGCTGGGCCTGCAGAACCCGGCGGTTAAACACCTGGCTTCCAGTCCAGGCTTTGCAGTGAAGCTGTGTGATGTGCGCCAGCGAATTCAATTCATCTCTCTGGCCCTCTTTTGCCCCTCCCTAGAATGAAGTAATTAGGCTGTTTGCCTAGAGAGGGCATCATGTGCGCACATCCATGTACATAAACATGTACCGTCACACACGTGTGACTCTGCGCGAGAGTGCGCGGCCTGTGTGTCAACTTCACTGGGTGCCTATTTTTTGTTTGTTTGTTTTGTTTTTTAGCACAGGAGACTGGATCTAGGGCCTTGTCTGCTAAGCAAGTGTTTTACCACCGAGCTTTATCCCAGTACCCTACTCCTGCCTGTGTTTGGAGGAAGGGTATAAGTGGGACCTGAAAGCTTTAAACCCTAGAAAGCTTGGGGGCAGCGATTTCAGTCTTGTACTCCAGGAGCACATACACACAGGCTCCCAGTCCAGGATTAAAGAGGGCCTGGAGAGAAAGCTGATAAGTGCTAGGCTTCATGGTCAAGGTCCAGACGGCAGGCTCAGCCACATGTCTGGGGTGCGTGGAGACGGCCAGAAGGACACACAGTCCAAGAGGGCTATACTGACCCTGGTTGAGGGGAGAAGGGTTTAAATGCCTTCCAGGACACAGCAGGCCCCTCCTCCTGGCTATCAGGAGACCAGAGCTGGAATGGGGAAGTGCTTGAGCTTGCAGTTACAAAATGACCTCAAGGGATGGAAACGGGAGGGGACGACCATTTAAAGAGTACCTGCTTGGTGCTGGTGCTTTGCCCCCGTGAACCATTCTATTTTATTCTCATTAAAAAAAAATCTTTCTTGTCCGGAACATTTTAGTAACTTACCTATGTCTGATTGTAGGGGCAGAATTGGCACCCCAGCCTACCTGTCTCCAAGACCTATGTGGTTCCCATTTTACCACTGTTAGAAATTTTTTAAAAATGTTATTATTTTGCTTTGATTGGGGCTGAGATACCTGATAGCTTTATGAGCAGCACTTTGACTCTGAGGTGGTTCCAAGACCCAGGGTGAGACCCAGACCCCCAAGAGTCCTCGGAAAACTCTGCTTGTTTAGGACCAGAGCCCCTTCAGAATCCTTGTGTCCCCTCAGCCCTGACCTGGGAAGTGTTAATAAAATAATCATGATAAAGCCAATTTTAACCTCTTAATCTTTGCTGAAAGTCTCACAATCATTAACTTTTTGCAGTAAAAGAAATGACAAGCAAGAGTTCGTAGAGATGGAATCACTCATTTTGTGCAGTGAGAATTTGTCAAGAGTTTTCTGTACGCCAGGTAGCATTCTAGGTGCTGGGGATGGAGCTAAAATGGGGTAGACAGAAATGCCTAGTCTCGTGGAACTTACTGTCTGGAGGAAGGAGATGTACCACTCAAAATAAATAAATGAGAAATGCAGTATGTTTTATGGTAATTAAGTGCTACAGAGAAAAATTAAGTAACAAATAGGAAAGGGGACACATAGTGTTGGGGTATAATTTTACATAGAATAGTCAGGGAACGTCTCATCAAAATGGCTTTTTTTTCTCTTCAGAGCAGTGGGAACTGAACCCAGGGACCAGTAAATGCTAGGCAGATGCTCTACCACTGAGCTACATCCCCATCCCTTTTTAAGTATTTTCTTTTTGAGATAGGATCTCAGTAAGTTGCCCAGACTGACCTTGAATGTGTGATTCTCCTTCCTCAGCCTCCTGAATAGCTGGGATCACAGTTGTGTACCACTGTGCCTAGTTTGAAAAGGGGGCTTTTAAGTAAAAGAAGGTAAAGCAAACCAGGTGTGGTGTCGCGTGCCTGTAATCGTAGCACTTGGGAGGCTCACGCAGGAGGATTGCCATAAGTTCACATCCAGCCTGGGCTACATAGTTCAAGGTCAGCCTAAACTGTGTGGCTAGACCTTGCCTCAAAAAAAAAAAGGTAAAAGAGTGAGCATCTGCAGGGAGGGCTTACCCTGGAGACCACAGACACGCCCCACCATAGGGCTGTAGCTAGAATTCAAGAGATCTTGACCTTCAATGAGGAAGAAAATTTGACATCTTTATTTTCACCAATTAAAATGTAGCATGTTCCTCCATTACAGTATTACAGACAACCATTCAGTGAATTCACAGCACCTGGGATAGCGCTGCTAGGACAAATCACATATTTTCATATCACAATGCAGTTGTTGCAAATACCTTAAAGTACAATTATCACACTCATTGCTACTTCAAAATTATGCTGCTAGCTCTTCTAATTTAATGAATTAATAAGGACGCAGACACATACATATTGCTACACTGCACATTGTTAAAGTCTTTTGAAAGTTATGTTTAAATATAGTTGGTTTTCTCTGTAACATATATGTTGGGAGATCTTAAACTTAGAAGGGGCCACGGGCTTCACAGACTCTCAGAGTGCATGGTACATATCAATAGACAGCGACAAGTCCAAAAATGCAAAGGCTGTAGAACACCGGGGTGATTGCTTTGTAGAAGCAAGAGATTACATAGGCCCTCGTAGGACATTCCTAAGAATTTGACGTTTGCCGGAGTGATAGGGAGGGTTTTGAGCCAAAGAGCGACGAGATCTGACCCTGGATTTTGCAGGTCACTTGGCTGTCACCTGGAGAACAGAGAGGAGAAGGCTAAGGCAGGAAGAGCCTCTCTCACCTAATCAGCCAGGTGAAGGTAGTTGCCATTAACTAGGACTAGAGAAACCGGAAGGGCTTCTCTCCCTCGGGGGAGGACTAGGAGTTCCCCGTTGGCCATCAAGCTTGAGATGCCTCCCCAGCCTCCATGGGGAGCCACCTCATAGGCAGCTAAGAGTGGCAGCCTCTGCTCATGGTGAGGTCCTTACTGAAGAGATCACACGTTGCAAGAGCTCAGCAGGTAGATGGTATTCGGAGTCGTGGGGCCGTTTGAGATCATCAAAGAAATGAATGTAGGGGCCGGAGAATTGGCTCAGTGGTTCCGCTGCCTACCTTGTAAGCGCAAGGACCTGAGTTCGATCCCTGGTACCCAAAACATTTTAAAATGAGTCTAGAAGAGAAGGCTCAAGGATGGTGATCTTAGGCACGGCAAGGTCAACAAGGCCAGAAGATGAAGAGTTCTCAGCGAAGATGCCATTAAAATGGAAGCATCTGGAGAGGGGGGAGGAATGTCCTCAGCACCCTGGGAACGTGTTTCAGGAGGGAGGAAAGCCCTACGCCCACATCTGAGGGTCAGATCAGCATGGATGTCGCTGGTGACCTGGACAGAGGGGTGCAAGCCAAAGTGAGACCAGACTGGGTTCAAGAAGTTGTGGTAAAGTTTATCATCATTATAGTTCGTCCCAGGATTCTACCTAAAAACAAGCTATCCTCTGCATGTGTTGGTTTCTTAGCCTGTTGATGTGTACAGAGATGGCTAACCACATAGCTGGAGAATTCAGTTTAAACAACTGCAGCAGGATTTGGTCGTGCAGGCTTGTAATCTCAGCTGCTTAGGAGGCTGAGGCAGGAGGGTTGCTATGAGTTCAAGCGTGGACTACATAGCGAGACCCTGTCTCAGAAACCAAAATAAGTAAAGAAATAAATAAGTTTTTAAGAAACTTTTGTTGATATTCTGTGTTAATCATGGTAAAGGAGGTTACAGATCCTTTTTTTTTTTTTTTTTTTTTTTTTTTTGGTACTGGGAATCGAACTGGGATTCTTGAGCTTGCGAGGCAGGCAATGGCACCACTGAGCTAAATCCCCAGCCCTAGCGGTTACACATTGAGGGAAATAAAAACACTGCTTGGAAAGAGTTCACAGTCTAGCTGCCTTTGTCCACAAATGAAATATACTCAAAGTCGGACGTATGGCTGAGTACAGAGAGCCTGAACACCAGTTTTGCCAGTGATGTAGACAAGAGAATTAAGACTGTGGGCTCCAGAGTTGGCAGTCCTGAGTGTGAGTCCTGTCTCTGCCATTCGCCGGCTCCGTGGCTCTGTACACGACTCCGTTTCCTCCCCTGTGGACTAGGGTTGCAGTCATTTCTAAATTTTCATGTGCCCATTTCTGGGCCTTATCATTAAGAGTTCTCAATGGGCAGGTCTAGGACAGGGCTTCAAGATCTGCATTTTTACCAAGATTCATATTCATGCATCCTCTCTCTCTCTCTCCCTCTCTCCCTCTCTCTCTCTCTCTCTCTCTCTCTCTCTCTCTCTCTCGCCACGATTCTACAACTGAGTTACATCTCCAGCCCCTTTTGAAAATGTTGAAACAGGGTCCTGCCCAAGCTGGGCCCACACTCAAGGTCTTCCCGCTTCAGCCTCCTAAATAGCAGGGATTACGTGTATGCACCGTCACACCTGGCACGGCGTCTCTCTCGATGCCCTTGGCCAGGGAGCAAGAGCAAACTTCGTGAAGCCCCGTGAGCAAGTCTGCGTGGTTTTGAGCACCGGCCTGGCACTTGGACATTGCTCACTGTACAATAGCTCTTCTTCCAGGAGTCTTTTTTGGGAACAAAATAATCCTTTTTGATAACTTGCCATTTGCGTCCACAAGCAGAAGTCCAGCATACCATAAGCACTTTAATTGAAAAAAAAAAAAAAGACTTTTTAACACTCGCTGTATATTTACTGAGTGCCTGCTATGACCCAGGCAGTATATAAGGACTGGAGAGACAGAGTCGTTTGAGTCATCAGTGTGGGCAGAAGTCCCACACAGTCAGCCAGGCTCCCCAGCCGCCACCCCTGGGCCCAAAGAGAGCCCCTCACTCCCTGGCTGCTCAGGATGTTGTTTGTGCGATGGTGACAGGTGCCCAACTCACCTGGGGTCTTGTGCAGGTCCAGATTCTCGAGGTCCAGAGTGGGGCCGCAGTCCCCCCAGGCTCCCAGCTGACCCCGATGCTTCTAGGTCTCCAGTCACCCTGGAAGTAGCAGTCTAGAGGTTAGGGAACTCTTCTGAAGGCCTGCCCTTCCCTGAGGGTTCCTGGGGAATGCTGCAGGGAGACTGAATCTGACAGTATGGTTTGCTCCTGCTTCCTTCCGACTCCTCTGTTTTTAGGTTTTGTTTTTTGAGACAGGGTCTCACTATGTAGTTGAGACTGACGTGGAGCTATGTAGCCCACGCTGGTCTCAAACTCACAGCGATCTTCCTGCCTCAGCCTCCCGAGTGCTGGGATTACAGGCGTGCACCACCACGCCCAGCCTCTGATTCTTCTGTTTTTAGAATCCAGTCTTTCCCCTTCAGCCTACCATCCCACCTGAGGCAGCCTCCTCTAAGAGAGGATGCATGGGCCGGAGATTTGGCTCAGCGGTTCCACTGCCTGCCTCACAAGCGCAAGGACCCGAGTTCGGTTCCTGGTACCAAAAAAAAAAAAAAAAAAAAAAAGATGCATGTTCCTCCCTTTGGCCATTTAGTAAATATTTCCTGAGCACCTACTGTTATGTCAAGACCTGTGCAGAGCACAGTTGGCATTCAGGGGAGGATGAGACAGCTGCTTCTGCCTCTACTGGCTCCAGGTAGGAAGTGCCGCCGGGTCATGGGACAGGGAAAAGCTACCCGGGGCTGTCTGTTGCCTGAAGACCCTGCCCTGGCAAGATCCTGACAATGCAAGCCCCTCTGGAGCCATAGCTCAGTGGTGGGACTGACCAGTCCCCAGGAGACATCCTAATAAAGTGCCCACCGGGCCACATGTCCCTTCTCACAGGCAACAAAGATCCCCGAGGCCTGCAAACACTTCACCAGAAACTGCCAGGAAGGGTGGCCAGGTCAAGGGCCTGGCCAACGTCAAAGTGAGGCACCCACTCTGAGCAGAGGGCCTGCCCAATCTAAGAGCCGCCAAAAACTCAGGCAGAAGCGCTGAGTCAAGTTGAGCGGTCTAAGAAAAATCGTCTTGCTTTTCCCGGGGCTTCTGGTAAGTCAAAGCAAATCTCCCTCCATCAAACAGACTCCTCCCTTCCATGTACTTACCTGTAGTGAGCGTGTAAGCTGGGTACATGCCTGTAACCCCAGCTACTCATGAGGCTGAGGCAGGAAGATTCCCAGTTTGAGGCCTGGACAACTTAGTGAGACTATTTTAAAATAAAATAAAAAGGCTTAGGGATATAGCTTAACAGAGTACTTGCCTAGCATGTTCGAGGCCCTGAGTTCTATCCCAGGTACAACAGTAATAATAATAACCCAAGATGGTGATGCACACCTGTAATAGCACATGAGAGGCTGAGGCAGGAGGATTACCACACAAGTTCAAAGCCACCCTGGGCTATGTGGTTCAAGGCCAGCCTGAACTACATACACAGTGAGACCTTGTCACAAAAAACAAAGAAATTAAAAAACGACAACAATAATAATAGTGACACATTTATAAATAGCTATACCCATAGGATCAGCTTGTATATACTAAAGGCAATGAGCCCCAGGCCCAGATTCTGTCTGTGGGATTTATGTCCGTTTACTTAATTATTTAGTTTTGCGATGCTAGGACCTTTTGATGCTAGGCAAGCACCCTGCTACCAAGCTATGTCCCCAAGCCACAGGACTTGTGCTGTTTAGAAAGTCAGTCTGTCAGACTACGATAGTGAGCTGTTTTAGGACCTGGGGGTTGAAATGGTCAAAAGAAATTCTTGAGCGAGGCCTGGGGAATAAAGCTGAGATGGTGCAGAGCTCGGAAGGCTCAAGTGAGCGACATGGTGTGGACTCAGTCCTAGGGAGCTCTTCGTCCTCAGGTATCCTAGGAGCAGGAGGGCACTCGAGAGGCCGAAGTCACCCAGCAAGACAGGAAGCCAGGAAGCAGGCTGAGTTCAGGCTTGGGCACTTGGGACAGCATGCTCTACCAAGAATGTATTCCAAGGGTTGGGGAGGCGGCTCAGTGGTAACAGGGCTTGCCTAGCACACGTGCCGCCCTGGGTTCAATCTCCAGTTCCAAAAAACAAAACAACCAAAAACCTCCCTCAGGGAGCCCAGCATCCCTTGAGAAGGGCAGGGCCCCCGAGAGGGCCTCCCCGACCCCTCCAACTTGCAGGTTCCATGACCTCCTCCCTGCCCACCCTGGGGACCAAGCTTCCAACGTGTCCCTGGGGACAAGCCACATGCAGATCAGGGATAGCATCTGGAGGTTCTGACGAGACAAGGAGGGTGACAGATGTGCCAGCAATGTGGACAGTTTCTGCCAGTTCACAGAAAGCCTGGCGTGCAGAGCGCGGTGCTAACCCTGAGGAAGGGACTTCCCTCTGTCCAGGAGAATGTACTAGGAGCCACCTGAGGTGACAGTGAGACTTGTGTTGGAAGGAAGAGACCAGAGCATGTCACTGGACTCCGGGAATGTCCCCCTCGGACGCCCCCAGTGGGGCCACGGGACCTGTTTAAGAAGCATCCTTACCACTCCTAACGTGAAAAGCTGGATGCCACTGGAGCACCTGCCACTCCAGGACCAAGTAAATAAAGCACAGTGCGAGCAGAATGAGGCAGCAAAGGAAGGAGGGGCATCCAAAGGCTCTGTGCATCTGGTATAGAAAGAGCCCTACGAAAAGTATCCAGTGACAAGCAGATCTCAGGGTACCATGTGCCGTATGATCTGTGTGCGGTACAAACGCGATGCAAATGAAAGTTGGGGAGCAAACCTTGTGCTTGCTAAGCAAGTGCTCAGCCCCAGAGTACCAGCCCCAGCCCCAGCCCCAAAGTGTACAGTTGTATTTGAATACCTGCGCGCACGTGCACACACACACACACACACACACACACACACACACACACACGCAATTTAGGGAAATAAAAGATCTGGAAAAATACACACCAAAACAATGACTGGTCTGTGCTGGAGGCCAGGGAGGGGCCCTGGGAAGGGGCTAGGAGCTGGGGCCAAGGCTGTGGAGACTGGAAGGAGTTGACCTGTGGTGTTATGGGGACTCCAAGAAGCCTTCTGCTGTGGGGCAGTTGCTGGCTGCCCCCCGAGCTGCTTGACTCCTCCAGAAACTGGAGCAGTGTTGGGATGGACCACATTTCTCTTTCGGGCTAATCCATGCGGTCCCCTGCGCAGCCCAGGGCCCGCTTGGCTCTCTCTGGGCCTCAGAGTCAGGGTCACTCTGGGCTGCTCCAGCTGGGCCAGCCTTGACCCTAAGTGTATTCTTCCAGAGTCTGCTCATGGAGGTCGAGCTCCAACAGGTGCCCAGAGAAGCCCCACTTCCTGTGGCCTACTGAGAAGTAGGGTAGGCTGGGCTGGGAGCTGCAAAGGTGGGAATAATTCATTTACCCGATGGATGCTAACTGATTAATAAGAATTAACACGGAGGACACTCTGCACTGGCTGCAAGGAAAGGGGTGCTCTGAAGCCAGGGCGTGAGCGCTAGGCCCAGCGGCCATGTGCAAGTATAGATTTTTGCCACTCCATCAGGCTACAGAGACACGTCAGGGGAAGGCCCTGTCCTGAGGATGCCACAGGAGGCAGGAGGGTGGATTTCAAGCACTGGTGAGGAATGCGGCTCAGTATGAGGCCACAGCACTCAGGCCCCCTGGCCCCAGATGCCTCGCCACAGTCAGGCTTCTTCGTTAAGAAAACCCTGGAAAGTGCTCCCGGTGCCAGGTGGCTGTCATGGGAGCCTCCTTCCGGCGCCGGTGAGCAGCTGTTTCTCCCTCAAGCCCTTGAGAAAGCAAATGGTGAGGGCGGGATGGCCCGGGCACCACAACGACTGGCCGTCCAGGACCTACAGCTCTGGTGTGCTCCTTCTCCAGCCAGGGTTCTGGAAGAGTCTCAGGCATGAATGGGGGCTTGATGCCCATGCCACCCAGATGCTTGGCAACAAGGGAGTTCTTGTGGTGCTGACCCCCACCCAGCTAGGCCAGCTGCCGGTACAGCATCCACGTAAGAGTTCCGGAAGACGAGTTTGACACAGGAGAAAAAGCCTGCATTATCCTGGCTTCTCAGCTGGGAGGGAGAGGTGGACGGGGTGGCAGAGGGCACTGCACCCGAGAGCATCTGGCCCTGGATGTCCAGTTCCCTTATCCCCAATCCCGAACTGCATTCAGAGTTCAAGGAGAAGCCAGCAGCTGCTGGGTGTCCAGTGCTCGCTCTAGCTGGTCAGGCTGGGAGGACTTGCCTTCAGAGAAGCTGGCCCCATCCTTGCCACAGCGCAGTGGGGAGGCGACAATTCCTGGGTTGCAACCAAGATGAGGTAGGGCGTGAGTCATTGCCGAGGCGTCTGCTCTGGCCCTTTGTGTGCACAGAGGGGAGGAGGAAGCCAGGAAGTACCTGCTGGCATGGGGGCTGGAGGAGGAGAGAGGGTGCACACGTGTGTGCATCTGTGTGTACACACGTGTGTATTTTGTGTCTGCATGTGCCTCAGGCCACTACCCCGGAGTGCATATCTTCTGTGCTGTTTGCCCAGACAACCTAAAAATAATTTCCATTTAACTGTAAGATCTGTTATTTATGTACAAAATGCTTGCCCAGCATATATGCTTTTCTACCCACATTTTATCTACGATCAACATCAAGTTAAAATGAGTCTGCATTATTTATGCAGACACAGGATGGCTGGTGAGCAAGAGGCGGACTAGAGCACCTGCCCAGACGGGGCTGGAAAGCCCAGAGAAGAGCGGTCCCTGCGTGTGTGACAAGACTGGGGTACGCATGGATTGCTGGTGATGGCACTGATGGTGGTGATGACACAATGGAAAAGGACACTGCCGGACCCTGGGGTGGCTGCCTCATCCCTCACCCACACAGGCCCTTGGCACATCTTTGCTGAGTTTCTCTGCAGACTTTGGGAAAGAGCATCCATGTAGGAGTCCTGTGTGTCTATGTGGAGCTGGATGACCCATAACTCGTCACGGACGGGAGACATCTAAGTGAGATTCTGTCTGAAAGTCGGTTTACTGGAGAGATTGCTAAGGAATGGTGATGCAGTTACCAGACTGAAAGGAAGATCA